CATCAGTAGACGAATGGATAAAAAAGCAGTGGTACATATACACAATGGAGTACTATGCAGCTGTAAGAAAAAAAGATCTCTCATCCTTTGAGACGACATGGAGGGACCTGAAAAGTATTATCCTAAGTGAAACAAGCCAAGCAGAAAAAGACAAATACCACATGATCTCACTTATATACAGAATATAATGAACATAACAGTCTGAGGAATATGATAGACCCAGAAACATTGAAGTAGGGTACAGACTGACAACCCTCAGAAGAGAGGGTGGTGGGGGTGGGGAGAGATAAACCACAGAACTTATATGCATGTATGCATGACCAATGAACATGGACAGCAAAGCCGGGGATGGGGCGGGGGGGATGGGGAAGAGGGTACCAAGGGGGTAAAAAAAGGAGAAACATCTGTAACAAAAATAAAATTAAAAAAATAAAAATAAATAAATAAATAAATAAATATTGCTATTGGTATGAGAAAAAGAAGAAGACAAGTGAACTAGAGCATATCAGGTAGTGAGAAATGCTAAAGTGAATGAAATAGAGGAATATGTTAAAGAGCAACTGGAGTCGACTTCAGATTTAGGGGTTAAGTAAGGCTTTTCTGAGGAAGTAATAATTAAGCTGAGACCTGAATGATAAGATAGAGCCACTATACATAGATATAAAGGGAAATCATTCTAGATACAGGGGAAAGCAAGTAGAAGGAAACTAAGATATGCGTGAGTTGGGGGTGGGGAGAAGCCAGTGCAGCTGGAGTGGCCTGAGAAAAGGGTAAAGTAATATAAGATGGGCCTTGAAAGCCAGAGTATGCTGTTTGTTTTAAGCAATGAATTTTATTCCAAGCATAATAGAGATTGATGATCATTGGCCAGATACCAATGCTTCAATGCCAGTAAAATGCCCAAACCCTCTGAATATCAGATAACACCATGATGAAGTAAAAGGGGCATAATTCTAACTGACTGAAGTTAAATTCTGAAGTAATTGAGTTTACCGGAAGTAAGATGAGATTTTGTGCAATTAGTCAAAATGAGGGCTTAAGAGTTAAATGAAAATTAACAATGGTGAAATAAAATTAATACATGAGTTTTGGAACACATGAGTTTTTGTGACAATAATATTTATAAGCAAACATTAATTTACTACTGCCCTCTGTATTCCAAAATGACACTGTCACTGTATGTGATGACAAATATTTCCAAAAAATCAAAGAATAATTTTTAGGACTTTTTACATCAGGTACATCAGATGGTTTCCCCCAGTCTCCCTCTTCTACCTGAAAACGAAGGGAGATAGCTCCAAAACAACATGTTGCTTATGCATCAATTCTTAAATTTCTCATCTCTTCCCTGTCTACAACATGAGCAAAAAGTTCCAGTTAAATTGATTACTGCACTCTAGAATGGAATGTAATCTAGTGAACACAGTTTGTTAGCTACTCTAAAAATTGCCCTTTGACTATAGGTTGCCTTCTTTCAAAAATTGTGAATTAGCACCTGTTGCCACTGCCATGTTTCTTGTTGCAAATAATTCAAAACTTTGTCACATTTTTCAGTTATTCTTCATTATACCTTCATTTTTCCCCCTAGTCATCTATTGTATGTACTCATTCTTAATTCATTATATGAGAGCAATTAGGGAATTCCACAGGCCTCTAACTTCTCTTCCAATGCTTGTGGATGGCCTATATTCTATGATTTCATGGTGGAAGTACTGTCTGGCCTCTCAGTGATAGCTCCTTAGTTATACTCAAACCCTCAAGAAACCTGTGATAGGTCTACATGTCACAGTTATTCAACATTAAACCAAAGCTTCATATGGCTAATAATTATGGCCATAAATTCCCTCTCAGGCCTAAAACACCTTCACAACAACCCAGCCTAAAAGGGTAGAACTAGTGACCTTTACCTTCTTCTGGATCATGATACCCCACTACCACAACCCCATGTTTGCAGATCTCTCAAATCATACATAGTGTTCTCTGAGCCAATTATCTATGGCTTTGTCTAGAAGCACTTCCTTGGACAATGACTTTTTCAGACTTCAAAAATAGGTGGCAGCTTTTATCTCTATCTATTAAGGGGAAAACAGAGATTGAGAATAGTAAAGGACAATTTCAAGCATAAGAAAAGAAAATGAGCCCTGGCCGGTTTGGTTCATCAGCTGGAGCGTCGGCCCGCGGTCCGGGGAGACCTGGGTTCAGTTCCCGCTAAGGGCACGTACCTCAGTTGCGGTTTGTCCCCGGCCCTGGTTGGGTCGTGCAGGAGGCAGCCACTCGATGTGTCCCTTTCACGTTGATGTTTCTCTCTCTCTCTACGTCTCTTTCTCCCTCCCACTCCATCTGAACAAAAACTGGAAAAATGTCCTCGGGTTAGGATAAAAAAAAAAGAAAATGAATCATGAGATTGGTTCAGATGACATGTTTAGTCTGAAAACAGTTTGAAAAAGAAAATTACTAATAGTGGATGTCAAAATTTAGATACAAATTCTAAAGGAAAGTCAAAGCAGCATAGAATTTTAGAATTTGTCCTTTAATGCTCAACTGATGTTCTCATTTTCCAAATTAAGAAACTAGTGCTAAGAAAATCAATTAGTTAACTAATTCATTAATTATTAGGTACTACCCAGTAAGTTACCAGAGTTAGAACAAGAATTCACATCAAATCAAGGCCAATATCTGAAAGGATTCTCAAATTAAACATTATTTTTAAAAGATGAAGATTTCCAACTAACAAGTCAGCTCTGCCTAGAAAAAAAAAATGTCTATTTCAATATAAATGTTGGATAAAATAGTGACAATAACCAACAGGGTGTGCTAGTTCATTTTGAATATAAAGAGGGTATTTAAGAAAAAAAATATATTGTGAACCTAATACAGAGATCATGAGTTACTTTGATTCAAAATCACACTGAGCTGGAAATGTCAATAAAGGGGATCAAAAGGGAAAAAGAAGTATGTTTCCTAACAAACCTAGTAATCATAGTCTAGTAGGAGAATGACAATACATTCAAGCTCATAGTTGAAAGGAGGGCTGAAGACATTCTATTAAGATATAACAAAAGGAAAAGAGAAAATTGCAGTGAAGGGTGCATCAAAGGCTCTTGTGAGCTTCTGAAAAGCTCAGTGATAAAAAGAAACCAGTACTAAACATTTTCAGGAAGGTGGAACCAAAAGGTATAGACAGTTAAGTTAAAGCTTTCCAGGATTATAACATTATAACACACACACACTGCAATGCCAACTTCTTTGTGTAATGTTTTCCAACAGAGTGGAAAAAAAAAAAAATTAAAAAATTTGTCAACAGCAATTCCATTCCTGGGAATACACCCTAGAGAAGAAATTCATGCACATGTGTATCAGAAGACAGGTGCAATAATGTTCATACCATCATTGTACTAGCAGAAAACTGGAAATCATCCAGATGTCCAGAGACAGTAGACAGGAGGATATACTCCTGTGTAGCATTCTATGGGACACTACATGGAATATTACACAAAAAAAAGAAAATAAACTAGAGCTATACAAAGCAAAATTGACCTTAGCATATGATTATGAGTATAAAAAAGCAAATCACAGAAGATTACAGTGTGATACTATTTAAATAAAGTTCTAAAGCAAAGCAAGCTAAATAATGTGTTATTTAGGCACACACAAAAAATTGCTTAAAAAAAAGTAGGTTTGGCAGTATTTACATCTAGGTAGAAAACAAATGAATTGGACAGGTGAATAAGACAAGTAGATTCAATAGTATTAGTAATTTTTATTGAGTTGGATGATGAATTCACAGCTGTTTATTTTATTGTATTCCTTATACGTGTATCAAACATTACCTAATAAACACATATTTAAGTTTACCATTTCTTTTCATTTTCATTCGTCCTTTGGATTTTCCATATGTATTGTATAAGAGAAAATACATAGATCTAAAAACTGCCCCCTACTACTTTTGAGAATCCCAGTCTAAGTCCTAAAGAAGTGAATCTAATGAATTTTCAATGGGGAAAAAAATGCAAAATGTAATAATCCACTCAAACTCCACAGGTTCAAAAATCATATGAGAATATGACTTATTTCATCAAACCATCAGAAGACTTCATCCTTTCCAAGCAACAAAATGCTACAAGAGCCCTTTCTTACTTCCCAGGTCGGTAAGAGGAAAAATCAGAAGCAATTGCCTACATCTGTTAACATTCCTAGAGAAAGAGCTTTAAGAACAGAATGTTTAAATCTGAGAAGATAAAAATGGGCCAAGAAATCTGAAGTATCTTTTCAAGGCAGAGACACACAAAATGAAGTTAAGAAAATGATTCAACCACTAGAATATTGCCAACACTGTAAGTGAGAGCTGCAAAACAGCAGCAAGTTGAAATAACCAAGATTTGCTCAGAATGTCTGGGGTTCACAGGATTCAGGGTGATTATATCTTTTATAAAGTTGTAGGAGAGGACGACCAGTTTCCAAAAAATCAGAAAGCAAATATACTTACCATAAAAACATACCAAATATAATTTTTTTCATAATTCAAAAACCAATTGTTCTAGTTCCTCATTTTAATCCTTAATAGTACATACTTTCAAAAATATGTTTATTTCAACTATCTAGTACTAAATAAGTATTTGCTATGAATATGATACAAATTCTTTAAAATAGGGCCAAAGACACAAATATCATATGGAGGAAAGGTGCATTTTAAAGAGAAGAAAAAATGAATTGGAATTAAGTTATACTGAATACTTAATGTGTTTCTTATGCAAAAAAAATCCAAAACCTTTCTGATTTCTCTCATGAATGAGAAACACAATTCACCAATACAATTTTTAATCATAACAGTGGCAAGAACCTAATATCCATAAATTTTGTTTTAAACATCCTTTTGATGCTTTATCACGGTATGAAGGTTAAACTTTGTTTTTAGGATGGGCTTTTAATAGATTTTTTTTTTAACAGAATACATTACTCTTAACAATTGCTCTAAAAACCTCATCCAAGGCTTTACCAACCTCTCTCACTGACAACATCATATTCTGCATATTTCTCAGCAGGGAACATTGGCCTCCAGTGGGGAAACTTTAGTATCAGCTTTTCCAAAAAGCCTGAAAGGAGAATTAAACTGAATTGCTCTTCCAGAAAACAAGAACATCATTGCTGCCAAATGCTAAAATCCCTTAACACCATGGGACATTTTCTATGATTCTGTATGTGGTGCTGGATGAGTTTTCTGTACTGTTTCTCATAAATGTTTCTCCAAATAATAACAGTAATAGTTGCTATAATAGCAATAGAGTGATAATTACAATTATAGAAGCTATGTGTTTTATATATGTAATATTTCAAATTCTCACACAACCCTGCAAGGTATCACTCATCCAGTGTTACAGATGAGGGAACTGAAGCACAAAACGAATACTGTGTTCAAGGTTCCACAGCTAAGAAATAATGTTGGCCATATTTGTTGAGCACTTACCATGTTCTGGCAATGTTCTAAATGCTTTAAGTGCATTAACTAAATCTTGATCCTCATATTAGCACTACAATGGTATCTTTTGTTTGTTTTTTTGGTTGAGGAAACTGAAGCACAGAGAGGTGCCCTATATCATCTACCTGGCAAATGCTAGACTGAGTTTCAGACATAGGCAGCCTCCAGAGCCCACACTCTTAATCAGTAAGCTATGCTGCCACTCTAAATATTAGAACTTATATTCAAACCCAGATCTAGCTCACTCAAAAACATATGACTTTCAAACATGAGTTTTCCCATTGTGTAAACTATATCACATTCCTCATTTAGTAGAGCAAAGCTTTCAGATGAGCAATACACACTAACATATAGTCTAACTAAACATAATTCAGTGAAAATATATGTAGAAATCCAAATTATTGTTTAGAGATGTGAATAATGATAATAATCCATCAGATATACACATAAACACGTGTTCATTCTTGTGCTGGGTAACAGCTGCATAATCCATTGGAAAGCCTATCCCACCAGGAATCCAAAGCTCAAATGCTCATGCCCTTTCTCCACATACACAGTCAAATGAATCCACATACTTTCATTATCATGATAGCTCGAAGCATACAATTCAACTGGACAAATACTCTGATTTCTGACCAACAGACAGCCTATGGAACTGTACCTAAACCCTGCGTACTTTCCATTAAATGTATGGGCTCTATCAAAGAGAGCTCACTTATTCTACAATTTGTATATAACTACAAGCTTTATCACTCCCTCCTGGTCACAATAATTATTATCTAAGAAATAAGTATTTTTAAAGGGTCAAAAAGTCAGAAAGAAGGTTTTATTTTGTCAAAAGTTGAGGTTTATATCACTGTATCCCTTTCTTTGCAATCTCACATGACACCAGAACCTGACCTAAACCAGTTCACTCGGCCTAGGATCATATACTTAGTAGTATGATACACAAGACATGATAGTAGCTGAAGCACTATTATTAAAGAGAGATTAAAACAGCTGTACATTATGCTGAAGCACTCACTATTCCCTTTACAAACAGACGGTCCTGGATTACAAGCAGCACTTGACCATTTAAATCACGACAACAACCAGATTTAACCAGCTGGGCCATATTCTCCTAGGCAATGCCTGTTGACCTCCTCAGTCACAGCTGCTCAAATGAAATTCTCATTAGACAACTTATTTTCAGAAGCCAAAGGACTCTCTGATTAAATATAAGTATTTAGATATAGAAGTCCTTTTTAAAGTATTCATTTTCTGACAACTGTCGCTTATGTTCGAGCCCAACTACATTGGCAACAAGACGGGTGATACCAGGATAACTAAAATTCATCATTTGATCACAGCTGAAGGATTTTTATCTTGGAAGCATTTTAACCTAAGTCTATTAATCACAGTCTTTCTGCACACTTTACTCACCAATATAAACAATGTTTTAAAGGGCAGATTCTGATCTTTATTCATTCTATGCATCTATCCATCTATCCATGCATTTATCTACCTACCTACCTATCTGTGACAAAAAAAAAAAATCAAGGTTAAATTTACAAGAAAACAGAAATGTTGCTGGTTTTCCCACCAACCTCACTTTCAGAGGAGGCACGTCAGACAGAACACCTTTGTTCATCAGTGTCTCGGCAATCCAGAGAAAACACTGCTCGGAAGAGGACATTTCTTGGAGGTATGGCAGACAAAACACTGGAGATTTGGTTGATCTAAGAATCTGCCAGTAGGAGAATAACTTTCCTATTACTCTGTGGAGAGTTTTTGTCATGTCGATATTGTTTTAAAATAGACCATAATAAATAAACTTTTTATAGGTTCCTGTATTTGAGGGGAAGTGGAGAGGAAGAAGGAGATATTTGGTCTGATAGAGTCAAAACATTCTCCAGAATGAGAATTACTCAGGAAAGGTTATTTATTATGTCAGTCACACAGGCTTGTCACTCATAAAGTATGGCCTCCAAACAAGGAAGTAGAGGTGGGTTATGTATGTCAAAGCTCTTACGTATCCCGTGGGAGAAGAGACATCTCAGATAAGGAGATGGACCTGGGGTTTTAAAGGGTCAAATCCAGGCAAATATCGGTGGGGCTATTATATCTCCTCAGATCTAGAATATAATTATTATAGAATCCAAAATCTATCAAAAACTTTTTAATGACCTTTTCTATAATTATATCTGTTCGCCATTATAATGTTCTGTTCTATTGCTCCAAGCAGATAATGAAAATAAGAAATCAAACTCAAAATTAAAAATAGAAATCCTCATTGCTCCTATCTCCAAAACATGTTCCTCTACTTCTTTTTTTTTATTAATTGTATTACCACCCTTCTATTCACCCAAATTTTAAAAACTCTGAACTACCTTTGAACCATTCCTCTCTCTTGGTCTCCTCACTTAAATGTCAAGTCCTAATAATTCTAACTCCTAATATCTTTTCCATATGCAGCCCTTCTTCCTTTCTCCTTTCTGCCACCTTAGTCCAGGCTCTCATTATCTGGAGCCTGAAACATTTCCTTAATGTCTCTCCATGCTCCCATATATCCTACACAGTTCTGCCAGATTAACCTTCCTGAGAAGAAGCTCTAATCCATCACCTTATTGTACTAAAAAATAGTCAATGATCTTTCATAAACTTCAATATAAAGTTCAAACATTTTAGCTAAGAATTAAAGGGCCTCTATAATCTGAATACAACTACATTTTCAGTCTTATATCCCATATGTGTCTTTATATACTTTTCTTTTTTTGTTAAGTAAGATGGTCCTTTCTCTTTACTGTTTTTCAAAATTGTTTTGCTCTTCTTGGTCTTTTGCTTTCCATATAAATTTTACAATCAGCTTGTTAAGCACCCCACCACTAAACACTCACAAATCCAGTTGTGATTTTTTTTATTAAAAACTTGTTGATTTTATAGATTAAAGTGGTAAGATACTTCTTTTTTATTGAATTTATTGGGGTGACACCGGTTAATAAAATTACATAGGCTTCAGGTGTGCAGTTCTATAATACATCAACTGTATATTGTATTGCATGTTCACCACCCCAAGTCAAGAGATTTAAGGTTATTATGTTATTGAGTGTTGCTATCCACAAATGTGATATATCTCTCCATTTATCCAGATTTTTTTTTTATGTCAGTAAGTTTTATAATTGTCTTAAAGGACATGTATATATTTTGTCTTTTTACCTTTTGAACTTTGTACACACTTCTCCCACTCCCACACCTACCAGTCTTAGTATTGATGAGCTTGGTTTTGTTGGTGGTGGTGGGGTTGTTTAAGATTCCACATAAGAGTGAAAGCAAACGGTATTTGTCTTTCTCTGTCTTATTTCACTTAGTACAATGTCCTTGAGGTCCATCCATGTTGTTGTTGCAAATGGCAAGATTTCATTCTTTTTATGGCTGAATCATATTTTGTTGTATATATGCACCATTTCTTTATCCAATTATTCATCCATAGATACTTAGGGTGCTTCCATATTTTGGCTATTGTAAATGCTGCGGTGAACATAGGGATACATACATCTTTTTGAGTTAGTATGTTTTTATTTTTGTATGTGTTTTTTGTTTGTTTGTTTTCAGATAAATACCCAGAATTAAAATCAATGGATCTATGATAGTTCTATTTTTAATTTTTTGAGGAACCTCCATACTGTTTTCATAGTGGCTACACCAATTTACATTCTCACCAACAGTGCACAAGAGTTCCCTTTTTTCTACATCCTCACCAACACTTATAATTTCTTGTCTTTTTGATAATAGCCATTCTAACAAGTATAAGGTAATATCTCATTGTGTTTTAATTTTCTTGTCCTTTATGATTAATGATGTTAAGCATCTTTTCATGTACAGTCTGCTATCCTTATGTCCTCTTTAGAAAAATGTCTATTCAGATTTTCTGCCCATTTTTCAATCAGATTGTTTGATTCTTTTTGTTATTAAGTTGTATAAATTATTTATATATTTTGGATAGCCACCCCTATCAAATATAAGATTTACAAGTATTTTCTCACGTTCAATCAGTTGCCTTTTCATTTTGTTGATGGTTTCCTTTGCTGTGCAGATAATTTTTAGTATAATATAGTCCCACATGTTAAGTTTTGCTCTTGTTGCTTTTTATTTTGGTATAAGATTCAAAATATCATCACCAAAACCAATGTCAAGAAGCTTCCCACCTATGCTTTCTTCTAGGAGTTTAGAATTCAGGTCTTACATTTGTCTTTAATTCATTTTTAGTTAATTTTGTGTATGGTATGAGACAGTGGTTGATTTTTGTTCTTATGCAGGTGGCTGTCTAGTTTTCCCGACACCATTTATTAAAAAGACTGTCCTTTCCGATTGTATATTCTTGGCTTTTGTGTCATAAATTAATTAACCATTTATGCGTGGGTTTATTTCTGGGCTCTGTATTCTGTTCCATTGATCTGTGTGTTTGTTTTTATGCCAATAACATTATTTTTAATTATTACAGCTTTGTTATATAGTTTGAAATCAGGGATCATGATGCCTCAAGCTTTGTCCTTCTTTCTCAAAATTTCTTTGTTTTTTTTTAGTTTCTTTTTTGTTTTTGTTTTATTGTTGTTGTCTTTGTTTTGTTTTATTTTTTGT